CAAGTACAATCTTTTAACGTCTTTTTGTATGACGCGGCCCGGGATCGAACCCTGGACCTTCCGCTCTCCGGGCGGACGCTCTACCACAAGACCACGGAGGCGGTCTGGATGGGCTATGAGTCAACCTTTACCCATGGGTGGTTTTGAGTGGATCGATGATATCGAAGTGAATGATATCCATAATATCAATGTGAATAAAGGGTACATACTAGAAGTTGACTTGGAATATCCAAATTCGTTACATTAAGACCATAACAGTTATCCGCTAGCTCCCGAAAGATTAATGGTTAATAAAGACTGGATGTCGGAATATCAACACTCCTTGATGGGCAATACAAGGTTAACTAACGTAGAAAAACTCGTACCAAGTTTGATGAATTAGACAAAATATATAGTTCACTACAGAAATCTTCAGTTATATCTATTGTTAGGTATGAAACTAAAGAAAATACACAGAGTTCAAAAGTTTGATCAAAGCCCTTGGATGGAGCCCTATATAAGGCTGAACACAGATTTAAGAAAGATAGCTACCAGCGATTTTGAAAAGAATCTATATAAACTCATGAATAACTCAGTATTTGGTAAAACTATGGAGAATCTAAGGAAGCGTGTTGATGTTAAATTAGTCAGATCTAATGAGTTAGAAAGACTCAGGAAACTTATAGCCAGTCCGTCTTTTAAAAGAAGCAAGATATTCGATAACGACTTAGCCGCGTTGCATATGCAGAAGAGTAATATAAAATTCAACAGACCGGTGTACGTTGGTATGAGTATTCTCGACTTGTCAAAACACTTAATGTATGACTTTTATTACAACAAACTTAAGAAGCAATACGGCGATAGATGCGAGGTGTTATATAAGGACACAGATTCTTTGTTGATGGAAATACAAACCAAGGATGTGTATAAAGATATGGCAGAAAAAATAGATATGTACGACACGAGCGATTACCCAAAAGATAATCCACTGCACAGCGTAGTAAATAAAAAGGTGTTAGGTAAGATGAAGGATGAATGTGCTGGGACTCCTATAGCGGAGTATGTGGGATTAAGACCTAAGATGTATTCTATAAAGAAGTCTGATAATGGAGAGATAAGAAAAGCCAAGGGTGTTAAGAAGTATGTGGTAAAAAAGCATATCAAACACGAACAGTATAAAGAAGCATTACTCAACGGTAGAACATTCAAACATGAGATGAACTCTTTAAGAAGTGACAATCACAGGATATATGGATTAAGAATGAACAAGACATCATTATCCCCCTTAGATACAAAGAGATGGATTGATAAGGATGGTGTACTGCAAGCCCTCCAAAACAAAAATACCAAAAACCGACCTAAATTAATAAATCAAATACTTAAAAGCTCCAACGACCTAACTAAGGCAGGCAAACAAATAACCTTCTTGTGGATACCCGCCTACATAGGAATATACGGTAACGAAAACGCCGATAAAGCAGCTAAACTATCCCTCAAAATCCCAGAAATAAGCTTAAACTTACCCATCTCAAAATCAGAAATTAAAAGTGTAAACAAGCAAAAACTCACAAAAAAATGGCATAACCTATATCTAAACTCAAATAGCCAAATCAAAAAAGTGCTCAGCAAACCACTAACCAAACCCAAAATTCTCCATCCATCGAAAAAAATCGACAGAGTAATCACTAAACTCCAAACAGGACACACCAACCTAAATAACCACCTAAAAAAGTTTAAAAAACACACTACAGGTAACTGCCCACACTGCAAACAACCAGAAACTCCAGAACACGCACTCATCCACTGCACACACTACCTAACACATCGAACCGCATTACAAACCACCCTCAATCTAAACAAGGCTCTAACTCTAGAAGCAATACTAAACCCACAAAATAAACTAGAAAACTTCAAGGCCTTAGGCGTATTCTTAATAAAAACGGAACTAATAAAACGCATCTAAAAACACAATAACCTACCAAATCAAAATCACATAAACAAACAAACATCCACCATACCCAGCTCCCTTAGTTCTCCTCCCCAATCCCATCGGCATCTATTCCAAATCTCAAAATTCCCAAATTCTATATAAGCAACCCCTAAAACCCCCCTCTTGGGTTGCACAGACCACCTTCGCCCCTTTCGGAAACACATTAAATGGCCTGGCCGGGCCCGTGTGCGAAATACGCATCAGTCGGAAAGCGCACGTTAAATCTCCAAAGTACAAATGCCCTGCCCGGTCCATCTTTAAGATAATGAAGAATAGGCTCCCCTTCTTTCATAACCAATCGACTAATTTTATATATCTTAAGAGATCGGTTGCGCGACATAGGCCTCCTTCGAGTTCACCGGGCTGGTATAAATATCTTACGCTTACTTATCCGGAAGTTTTTGTTCTTTGCCTCTCCTCGGTGCTGAAGATTCGGAAGTAACAGATTTCATTTTAATCGCATCAGATGGTTTCTTCCCGATTAATCTTGTTACTTCATTATTCAGCACTGATACAACAGCTGATAATCGTGTCTCCCATTCAGTTGATCTCAATCGTTCCGATTTCATTTCGATCCCATACTGATAGCCAAACAAACGTTCCGCTAATGTCTGGTTAAATCTTTCGACGATAGCTTGACTACGGTGGGCCTCTTTTTCACCACACCTGATTTCGACATTGTGCTTTGTTAACAGTTTAGTTACCAATCCGATAAACTCGCGACCGGGATCAACTCGAAATAACTTCGACCATTTTAGTGGTCCGTGTTTATATATGCAGCTCAGTGCATCAGCTACTTCTGTCGAATCTTTCAAGGTTAATGGCTCAGCCTCTTTGTATCGACTAGCCTCATCCACTACGGTTAAAGCATATTTATACGTTTTGCGTCTTACCTTATCGTGGGGAAGAAACAAGAGGTCAGCCTGATGAACTTCATTCGTTGTAAAAATATCAAACTTCTTCCTTGGTATATAACGCGGTGCTGGTAAGTATATTTGCCACATCGCTTGTTTCTTTAACCAATCCTTGACCACATCTTTAGATACCTTAGCTGCAGTGGTTAATTTTTTTATTGCTCCTATACCTTTCCAATATCCTCGTGGTCTATAGTAAATTTTATCCATTATTAATTAATATTGATGTTTCTTTTAATACGACTCATGACGATTGTTGAATTGCCTCATCAAGCAGGAGATTCGATCAAAGACCAGTGGTATTAGTAGTGAAGACGAGGAAAAAAAGTTCATAGAACAGGGGAGACAACAAGCGCGTCAATTATTCCTTGCCAAAACCAACATTTAGAAGAATGCTTACATAAATATATAATAATGGAATTTATGCTCAGGGACAAAATTATCAAATGGAGAGAATTACCACAAGGTATATATTATATCAGTGATATCAAACCAACCAAATACGGTCATCAATTGTTTCTTTCCAATTACCAAGAAGAGTATATAGTCTGGTCTCCTAGTAAAATGAACGAAGAACTGAGTAAAAATGTTGAGTATCACTTTGTTAAAAATAATGGTATACATATGAATAAAAATAATAGAGAATATTTTCATTACAATTAAGTTTAATCTTGTGACGATCGTTGAATAGCATCATCATTTTTGCATAAAAAATTCCCCCTGTAGTGGTGGTATAGGTATATAAATCTGGCTCCAGTTGAAGTGGTCCAGAACCCCTATTACCTAAACTACTGTCCTTGAGTCGAGAGTCTCCATATTTTTTGGGATATAAGATATAACTTAAGGACCTTAGGTATCTTGGTGCAAATTTTCAAGAGCTTCTGAGTACTGGTTTTTGAGTTATGATTGGAACAAAAAACATCGGAATTATAGTAATAATAATAATAATAATAATAATGCCTTTTAGACAGGGAGCCCTAATAAGAAATTGTTATTTTTGCAATTTGGCTGTTTTGACCCCTGGATCAGGTAGCAGGACTAAAACATTTTCAAAAATTCAAGGTCACCAAGGTCACTGGGTCAAGGTCATTTAGGTAGTCTGTTTAACGAAAATGTACTTTTTTTTGGCGAGCTAAGACGCTGCTGTTATTGTATGTTTGGTGGAAGCGATTGTTTTTTATGCTTTACCACGACCTGTTGTATTATATGTATAGGTCAAATTTCATGTTCTTAGCTGTCTGTCAAAAGTTACGTCGTTTGACAGCCATATTGGATTAAAGACTGCTAGAATGCTAAAAGTGATAAAAACAGCATAAAACACTATGGTGTCATTCTCAGCCACTATTAGACCCATGGCTTCCAGATTTTGCATGTGACACGGTCATAAGATACTGATCAATTTCGATCGGGGGGTCAAAAGTGCTACATCCAAGCGTTTGGTCGCCATCTTGATTTAAGATTCGTTTCATCAGGTTACCATGGAAACCAAACTTGGCAACGAAATGAGTTGATGTTCACAGCACAATTAGATACAGACCATGGGAAGATGTTTCAGCTTTGTACGTTACATAGTTTATGAGAAACTTTAGTGATAGTACAGATTCAGATGCATAAACAACTGAGTAAAGAAATCATCTGTAGACTACAACAATACATCTGACAAGTCACCGTTGAGGCTCATATGCTCATGATTTTGAAAACTTGATGTTGACATATAATACTAAAATACACATACATTACAACTACACATTATTACTTTTAATGAGTCAGCGTATGGCATTTATGATATATGTATCCATTCTCTCTATCAACTAAGGTTTGTTTCAAAGCGCCAATAACTCATTACGGCGTGCAAAATGCACGCCCATCTCTACATAGCTGAGTCTTTTTATTGCATATGATAAACCAGAATATTCAGAAGAACTACAGAGCCTTATGGTGCTATTTTGCTCATATCTCAACCTTTTTATGTATCATTATGAAATTTGATGTGAATTTAAGGAAACATGTGGTATGCACAATAACATATACCTGTGATACATTTTGGGGGCTTTCCTGTACCTTTTCTGTACCTTTTAGCAACAGTTTTACACTAATTTTAATTTCTGTTTCTGCAGAGGATTGCTCCATCTACTTTTCCAACTCTATTTGGGGAGATGCTGGATTCAGACATACTTGTCAACATTCTGGCAGTCTTTAAAGAATTTTATGTTCCGTAAGTATTCTTGGATTTTTGTTCTATGTGTAGTTATTAGTTAACTCTTACAACACCAGTCAACCAGAAGCTATTACTGCTGTGACACCAAGTTCCAAGAGACTCTGGGGAGATAGATGCTACAACATCTGATACACCATTTTAAAGGTCTAATCCTACTGTAATTAGCATTGATAAGTGTAAGAATGGACATAGCAAGGGGCAAATTGAAGCCAGCTAGGCAATTAGCCCCGACAAAGACAAGCAATAAGTCCCAAGCACTAGGCAGATAGGTGATTATCAGTGCTAATTACCTACTCTCTATGAGCTAAACCTAACTCAGAAACTAAAGACAAACAAGTTGCGAAAACAAACCCAAACCAAAAACCATGTCCAACTTTTTAATAAGTATTGATCCCTTGAGGATATGGAGGTGACTGACAACAGTCAGCAATGACATCATAGGACACACATCTTATCGCCCTCAAGGAAGGTGAGGGTTAGATCTTCCGTCAATCCTCCGAAGAGATGGCTTCTTCACATAAAGTACAATGGAGGACCGAGATCTGATTTAAACGAATTACAGCTCTTTGTTCAGGATTTTTAACTTTCAGCATTCTGTCTGCAGGAAACGTATCTAAAGCAGACAGATAAATTTAATTTACGTCAGTTTAATGCATATCATTATTTTTCTGATATTCCACCTTCAACGAAATTGAATTTTGCAAAGGCAAACTGGCCTTTATTTCAAACATTATGCACAAACTAAATAAATCCTGATGATTTCACACACCTATCATGATATAACATTTATACTAAGTTTTCATATAATAATTAGATCCACAGAAAGGGCTTTTATAAGTTATCATTGTGTAACATTTATACAAAATTTCATATAATTATAGAGCGGCGAGTAGTACATATTAATCAAGGGAAACAAAATATTAGTAGTTTCAGTTAAAGCTTTTTATATAGATGCTAGCCTAAGGTAACAAGAACACATCTCCCAGACATATACACAAAGAAAAAGGTTAAGCACACCCCTATTTCTGAACCATGTCCAATGGCAAAAATCATGGCATGGGAGGACTCACCACAGGAGCTGGGCGATACCAATGTCATCAGATAGAACAAACATTTGACAACAAATAAAGACGATATTGGTGAGTTGTGATTGAAATTAACTGACAAAAACATCATGGTAACACATGTACTGTTTTTGACCTTAGACAATACCTCAAAACAGTATGAGGGCAAGATGATTAACTCTTTCAACACCAGTCAACCAGAAGTGTTTACTGCTGGGACACCGAGTTCCCAGAGGCTCTTGTGTGATAGATGAAGCCAACATTTATCAAAGAAAATACCTGCTTGTAAAATATATTTGCTACTACATGTTATACACCATTTGAAAGGTCTGATCCTATGGTTTATAAATATGAAAGTTATGTTTTTCACATTATTTAAAATTATGCAGTTACAACTTAATTAAATTCGTTGTAAATAAAAAATGTACGCTAACACGTTGTTAACATCCAGATTAAGGACCAAGGAAGCGAAAACTTGACGATTTTCGGCAAATATATGATTTCATAATATCCACGTACCTATTTCTATTTTATTTTCATTGTTTACGTTATTGGAAAATCATTTTAAAAAGAATTATAAATAGTCTCTGTCATCACCCATTTCCCGATAACAGCGACTGTCCGCTCAGTAAAATGAAGAAATACCCCCGTTTTCGAGGTTTCGTATGAATAACACGTTCGTCGAAGAATGGCATATGACACATCGCTGGAAACCTTATTCCTTCATCTACACGCTCGTAACATCGAATGGTTTTTTTCCGTAGTTATAACAAGCGATTTCATTGGATTAAAATTGGTTTCTAATGACGCTTTCTTGCTGAAATCTGCTACAAGTTTCGTGATTGGTCAAATTTGAGCACGTGACCTAAGGCAGCCAATCAAATTACAGCTGTGATACCAAGCTCGTGTTTGATAAATTACAGAAGTTTGCGAAAGAATTTTGTTAAATCGTGTTATTCTGAATGTTTTGAGCAGGAAATCACGATATATATTAAAAATATGGAACTTCGTGAATGTATCGTGCTAGGTTACGAGCTGTGACAAAGATTTTTCATGCATATATTTTTGCATTAAACATCGTGTCCGAGCCGAGAATTCAAGGCGACGAAAGCCGAGATGTCATTTGACTTACATTACACGCGATCGCACTAAAAGATAAAAATAATAACTTAGATGTAAGTTTGATTACCTTTAGATATATTTTTGTTGATTTTATATATTACTTTGTATAATATATTTAAAGATTTGTTTAAGACGTCTTTATTTTCCTCTTTGACGTGTTAGATGTGGACCGGTTGTCGAAATGTGTGTCCGAGAATTTTATTTTCAATAACATTGCGGGAAATAGTGAATAATTTTTTAATTTAACGATAAAAAATGTTAAATTGAAATGGAATATGTATTTCAGACATTGTGAAATGTGATAGATTTAATTAATGAATGATATTACAGATAGGTCCATAAAAATATAGTACTATTTTGACGTGACTACGGCTTGGCCGGATAACCGGCCTGCGGTGTCTGGGGACTCGATGCTTCTTGGCCGGATAACCGGCCTACGGTGTTGAAAGAGTTAAGGATTAAGTGAACAAGTTACGTATGATGTTTCATGTGAAATGTTCCTTAAAGTCTCTACTTAACATGACACGTGAAACAGATCAGTAGCAGGAGTAACTGCCTACGATGGGCCAACAACAACCACTCCTGATGCAATGCTGCTTCCAATTGGCGTAAATCTTATACAGGAGGATCTCGTGCCTGTATGCGCCGCCCCAGAATATCCCAAACATGTTCAAGGGGGTTCAAATCTGGGTTCATTGCTGGCCAGGGTAGAGTTGTTATTGCATTGGCCCCCATGTAATCCAGGACTGCATGCGAACGATGAGGCCTGGCATTGTCATCCATGTACTGAGGTCAGGTAGCAAGAGGGTGGTTGTCAAAATGAGGAACTGCGACTCGCCTCAAAACATGTCTGGATGTACTGAGTGTTAATTACCTTTTTGGCCCTTTCCACTGTTAGCAATGGTTAGTCCTTCTCTCACTTAATACACCACTGACAGTTCATGTCAAATCCCCGCCATTAGTAAACACGCTACTTCCTCCGCTATTTTCCCATCTGCCCTTGAGCTTCCACTCACGCATGCGCACACGTAGTCAAGTTCAGAGGTCACTTCCAGTACACTCGGATGTAAATATACCACACAATGTGGTTAGGACTGACATGTTATCACTGAGCCCCTGTTAAGTTGCCCCTTATGGTGACCAAATCCAACCTGCAATCATGAGAGATACACCCCCAAACTATTACTGAGCCCCCGCCGTATGCAACAGTCGGTTTAATGTTCCTGGGGGTGTAGGCCGTGTTTCTGTGCCTCCAAGATTGCTTTTAGATAAATACTAGCCTAAGGTATGTAACAAGTTCCCATCTCCCAGATATGATATTAAATAGGACAAAAGACTTACTTATTTAAATTAGGAATTTAATGTGCGCTTTCCGACATATGCATATTTCTGACATATGCGTATTTCATGCACGGGCCCGCCAGGCCATTTAGTGTTTGGTCCAAAAGCGTATGTCCGAAAAGGTGAGGCAACCTAGGTGGGGCTTTTTAGGGTTGCTTACTTAATTTGGAGAACAAATTTGAATTTTGAAATATGCCATGCAAAAGGTGGAGGGGGGACTAAAAGGAGTTTGTGTGTTTTTATAGGTTTAGAATTTTAGGGTTTTTTGGCAGCTTGTTTGTTGTACTTTTTTTAAATGCAGCCAGTAGACCTGTTTTGATTAGATAAATGCCTAGTGCTTTAAAGGTTTGTAAGTCATTTAGGGGGTTTAGTACTGTTGCTAGTGTCATTTGATTGTTGCAATTTAGTGTGGATTGGAGTGTTGTTCTGAGTGTTGACAAAAGATATGTCTACATACTTTTATAGATTGCCCTGAACTATTATATTTAAGTAAATTTGTCATCACCTATATTAGAATAGAGGGGCACGGGTGGCACTGTCGTCTAAGGCACAGTGATTCACTGTGCAGAGTTGCGTACCTTGGGCATGCCAGAAACCTATGATTGTGAGTTCGAATCCCGGTTAGCCCTGATTATGTTTCTAGGTTTGTCAGCACCATACCAGTACTCGTGGGTTTCACCGAAGTCTGAGTCCTGTATCACTTCGGAATTTTTATCAACAGCTGCAAATTCAGAAGTATCTTGGATCAGTCTCCCTTTGGATGCATTCTGTTAGTTTGAGAGTTTATCACTTGCGGGATTACCGCCTCCAGTAGCCCCTAACCCACATGGGACGAGGGCAATTGCTTTGACCATGGTGTTACACAACAACTACACTGCCATCTTGCAGGGATACTTTTGGAGATCAGATACAGTGTTTGAACACATGATTACCCAAGTCCTGCTGTATCTGTTTTAAAGTACTGTCAGAAATGCTAGAAAAATGCTTTTCTGGCTTCATTTAATAAATCACAGGGCTATGAAAATAGCATATATCAAAGTAACGCAAATTGACCTAATCTAGCCTATCCTAACTGACACTGTGATAACCCTTAAAATGTACTTTTGCAGGTAAAAGTATTATAAACTTAGAAAATATTTTTGTCTCGGATGTGTTGGGGTGACGTTTTTTTAGAAGTTGGAAACTTTGATCAAGGATGTTTTCAAACCAGGTTCAAAGAACAAGGAGTAATGTATAATGTGAGATAGGATATTTATATAAATATGAATTTATTGCAAAATTTTCTATTATTTGAAAGCCATATGAGTAAAAAAGATTAAAATTTAAAAGATAACTATGATACAAAATGGCCTTTGACATAAAGAACAGATAATAAGCTCATTTATTTCATTAAGTTGGAGGTCTCCAAACTCATGATACCAACATTATGTGACTTGAGCAGCAGGTCATTAAAAACAGACATATAAAATT